CTGGATGGGCCACTGGCCTGATCCAACATGGCTTCTCTTATGTTCTTACGTCTGGGGTAGTGAGGCTCTGTCTTCTTGGTACTTGGGGGGGGCAACAGTGGGAGGGCTTCTGGAGTTCTGGCCCTGCTGGTGGACCTCCTGAGGGCCCCTGGGTTTTGGCCCCTGTGTGACACAGAGTGTTGGACTGGACGGGCCCCTGGACTGAACTAACATGGCTTCTCTTCTGTTCTTAAGTATCTTTAACTGCTACTTTTTGACCTCCAAAGGGGCTTGTGGTGTGTGGTGCAGAGTGCTGTCAAGTCACAGCCGATTTATGGCGACTCCATAGGGGTCTTTCAAGGCAAGAGATGTTCAGAGGTGGTTTGCCTTTGCCTGCCTGTGTGTAGCAACCCTGGACTTCCTTGGTGGTCCCCCATCCAGGCACTAACCAGGACAGACCCCAATTAGCTTCTGAGATCTGACGGGATCGGGCTCGGCCGGGCCACCAGAGTCAGAGCCCAAAGCGGTTTACAGCGTCACTGCAGAACGAATTCTGCTTGTTTCCGCACAGCTCAGCGGTAGAATGCCTTCCCCTCCTTCAATGCCTCTTCTCAGGGCTATTTCTGGGCAGGAACGCACAGGAATGGAGTTCCGGCTGGCTCCCGAGTTGGCCACACCCAGCAGGAACTCATTAGCATAATAGGCCACACCCAACAGCAGGAACTCATTAGGATTGGCTACATTAGGGGTGTGTGGCCTAACATGCAAAGGACTTCCTGCTACAAAAAAAGGCCCTGGGTTTTGACCACAAACAAGGTAAACAGAATAAGAAGCAAAAGGTGGGTGTGGCCGGATGACCAGACTTCTGGTAACATAGGGGTGTGGCCTAATGTGCTAATGAGCTGTGCTGTCAGGGGTGTGGCCCGATATGCTAATGAGTTCCTGCTGTTGGGTGTGGCCTGTTATGCTAATGGGTTCCTGCTGGGCTTTTTCTACAAAAGGAGCCCTGCCTCTTCTTTCCGTTTCAACGAGGGCCTCTAAGCTTGAGTAGGGAATAATAATGACTGTGTGGCATTGTGTGTGGTGTAGCCAGGAGAGCCGAAGATTGTCTGGCAGCCTAAAGTTCTAGCTCTTTTAGCATTATGCACCACTAGGTGGCGAGCTAGACTCCTTTTTTTGGGGGGGGGGCTGAGAGAACTCTAAGAGACCTGTGACTGGCCCAAGGTCACCCAACTGGCTTCATGCGGAGGAGTGCGGAATCAAACCCAGTTCTCGAGTCCGTCGCTCTTAACCACTACACCACGCTGGCTCTCGCTTCGGTGGATTCTTCAACTGAATGCTTAGTTGACAGACCTCAACAACCAGGGGCTCATCTCACCTTGTCCTTCAGCTGCTGGCAGAGTTGTAGAGACACCGTGAAGAAGACCAGGGCGTCGTTCAGCCAGGGCACAACGCTCTCCACCTTATGGACGTGGCTGACTTCGTATCTTTGGTTGCCGTACTCGCTGCAGGAGGAGACGAGAAAGAAGAGGCAGAGAAGAGATTGGATTTATACCCCGCCCTTCAAGGAGTCTCAGAGCCGTTTACAATCTCCTTTCCCTTCCCCTCCCCACAAGAGAGCTCTCTTGAGGACTGCTCCTGAGAGAACAGCTCCGAGAGGACTTGTGACTGACCCAAGGACACCCAGCTGCCTTCAGGTAGAGGAGTGGGGAATCAAACCCAGTTCTCCCAGATTAGAGTCGGTGCTCCAAACCGCTACACCAAACCAGCTGTGGGGAGGGGGTGGTTGTGGCACCCCAGCCCCACTGCTGCCGTGGGACCCTCCCCACCACTCCGGCAAGCAGCCAACGCCCGCCCACCTCCCCGGGACGGTACTTACAACATGGCCCCCGGGTTGTGCAAGATGGACCCGCCGGCTGGTCTGAAGTTCTGGCAAAGAGAGGGGGAAAAAGTAATTATGCCTCTTGGGAATGTCAAATAAGGGCAAAAGAGGTCTACGGACGTTTTATGGGATCGGGATTAAACCCTGGTCACGGGTTACACTGAACGCATACACAATCTGTACACAGGTCACACTTTGTTTTTTAAAGGTGTGTTTTCAGTAATTCCCGTGTCACGCTCAAGGCATGCAGAGCTGAAGGTGGGATACGAAGACCACGTTTATCCATGTGCCGGACCCCCCGGTTTCAACTGCAAAGGGAATGTGTCTTGGTTTCTTCTTACTAACAGACGTACGTACGTTCACTGTAGCGTATGAGCAGGGCTATAGAGATACAAGAATAAAAGGTAAGCGTCCAAAACCACAGCTAGAAGCAGAATACCGGGGGATAGTAAGAGACTTAGGACAGGAAGCAGGCAATGCTCCCTCTAAGCTGAGTTAGCGTGAGCCAGCTCACAATTTTTTAGCCTCTAGTTCTCACACATTTTTGTCTTCGCTCAGGAAGGATGGGGCTCCAGAGCAAACTCATTTATGCAGCAGCCCAATCGCTCGCTCACCACTTTAACGCCAGGAGCTCACAAAAGTAGAGTTTTTTTGCTCACAGGACTCCACACCTTAGAGGGAGCAGTGGAAGCCGCCCACCTTCAGGCTAGCGGGTTTGTTCCGTTTAGACAACACTGCGAGGTTCTAAGGCACAGTTTCAATGCCGGACTGCAGATTCCAGAACTCCTAAAAGCTGGGGCGTGAGCAACGGAAGTTAAATCGAAGATATAAATATAAATGAAGATATAAATGGCCCAAACTGTACGTTCTTTCTCAAGAATAGCTAGATTTAGAGACCAAGAGATTTTTCATTAGACACCAAGAGGATTTTCGGGATATAAACTTTCAATAGCCAAAGCTTGGGGCTTTTGACTCTCAAAAGCCAGGGGGACCTGCATATCTTAGGGACTGTCTCTCCCTGTATGTGCCCCGCAGAGACTTGTGCTCAACCAATCAACATCTTCCGGTTGTCCCTGGCCCAAACGACGTCCAGCTAGCCTCGATCAGGGTCGGGGCCTTTTTGGCTGTGGCCCCAGCCTGGTGGAACGAGCTCCCATCCCAGGGCCCTGTGGGATCTGTTAGAATCCCACAGGGCCTGCAAAATGGAGCTGTTCTGCCGGTCTTTTGGCTGAGGCAGCAGGTGTCCAGACTCCATTCTTGGCCTCCCCTGCTGACAGTCCCGGCCTAGTGGTTAGTGGCTCGATACTCCTTAATACCACTCAGGGGGTGTCCGTCCGAGCACCGCTAAGGAAGCGACTCTCGCTCTGGTTTGTGTATGAAACTTTGAATATATATATATTTTTAGTTAAATTTAATTGTTTCCATTTTTACATCTTGATTCTCTGTCGCAATGTTTTATGTGACCTCGGTAAGCCGCCCTGAAACTGCTTGCGGGGAGGACGGGCGATCGAGCAAATAAATAAATAAATCCCGAAAACCTTGTTGGTCTTACGGCGCTATCGGACTCAAATCTAGCTGCCCTCTGAAACTCTCTTTCTCAGCAATGTACCAACAAGCTTGGCTGGATCGGGCCAAGGTTGATCTAATATGGCACTCGGTGCCCCCCGATAGCTAGTCCAATGTCTACGGGAAGAGCCCGCGAGAAAGACACGATGGATGCAACCGCCCAGTTTATCCCCGGCATCTGGCGAGCAGAGGTATATTGCCTCTGAACACGAAGGGTCCGTTTCTACCTACTAGGAGTAGATGTCATGTCCAGGGCTCCCTCTAAGCTGTGGAGTCTCGTGAGCAAAAATTCTGCTTTGTGAGCTGCTGGCGTTAAAAGTTGTCAGCGAGCGATTGGGCTACTGCATCAATGAGTTTGCTCTGGAGCCCCATCCTTCCAGAGCTAAGACAAAAAACTAACTCAGCTTAGAGGGAACACTGGCTCATGTCTATTTATGAAGCGATCACAGGGGCCAAAGGACATATTCTGCTTCCACCAAGTCTCTTCTGTTTTCTACTTCTACCGGAAGCGTGTCGGGGGCACCGGGGGGGGGGGGCGAAAAAACACCCAGAATTCTGTCCAACCAGACGAGTGTTCCGCCTGCAACGCAAAGCAGAAGGGAGGCTGGCCGGTTCAGGCTTTTCTTTGCTGGAACCCCAGGAAGCCGCCGGGCAAACTGGAGGCCTGAACAACACCGGCCTGGGGTTCCGGAGCGTGCTTTCGGTCCACCCCGGCCTGCCCGTCAGCCCCACAGCCATTAAGCCGAGTGCTGGCAGCAGAGAGGAGGTCTTGAAAACAGGATTTGCCAATCGCTTGCTGGAGAGGAAGCCGGTCTGTCGTGTGCACAATTGGCACAAAAGTCAGCAGCTCATCTGAAAACTTCCCGCGTTCATTCGGGTCATTTTGAGGGGGGTTCGGAGCGAAATTTTGGCACGCTCAGCGCTATTTAAACAACTTGCAGAGAGATGGGGGGGAAACCACTCCGACTGGGATATGCCAGGGCTATTTTTGGGCAGGAACGCATAGGAACGGAGTTCTGGCTGGCTCCCGAGTTGGCCACGCCCAGCAGGAACTCATTAGCATAATAGGCCACACCCAACAGCGGGAACTCATTAGGATTGGCTACATTAGGGGTGTGTGGCCTAACATGCAAAGGAGTCCCTGCTACAAAAAAAGCCCTGGGTTTTGAAGACAAACAAGGTAAACAGAATAAGAAGCAAAAGGTGGGTGTGGCTGGATGACCACACTTCTGGTAACATGGGGGTGCGGCCTAATGTGCTAATGAGCTGTGCTGTCAGGGGTGTGGCCTAATATGCTAATGAGTTTGTGCTGTTGGGTGTGGCCTATTATGCTAATGAGTTCCTGCTGGGCTTTTTCTACAAAAAGAGCCCTGGCATATGACCGATAACCGACTACAGTATAACCTTGTCTGCGCCTCTTGCATGGCGGCGGCGGGGGGGGGGAGAGGATCCGTGCACTGGTGGAAAGCACGGCTGTTCGCGGAGCGGATCTGGGGGATCCGACCCAAGGCTACGCAGATCATGCTTATTCGAGGTGCAGTAATTTTGTCTTCTCTTTACTTCCGGGCGCATGTTTAGCCCCAGCGTTTCCTAATCCTTAAAGCGCTAATTATAACAGATGCTGAAGGCTGGCTGGCTAATCACAGCTTGCGAAAGACGACTATGTAGCACTCCGGCTCAGATTCATGGAAGCTCCTACCCTGAAGCTCCTGCTGGTCTCTACGGTGCTACTGAACTCGAAACCAACTGTTCGACTGCAGACCAACACTGCTTCCCTCTGAAACTAACTCCCTTACCATGAATAAAACTCCGTTGAGCTTAAAGGTGCCACTGGACTCTGACTTTGTTACCATGTTAATGTTAAACTCAGACAACCGAGCGAAGGCATTAAGCTGCCGTTCAAAGAATACTGGGACGGGGGGAATACTCTTTCTGAAGTGCCCAGACTGGGGGTGGGGGGGATCCTTATTGCCCTCTGACTTATTTCTGGGGTTGGCGTCAGAATTGGAGGTATCCTCCCCGCAAAGGGGGGGGGGGCGTCCCGTAGCTCTACGGCTGCTAGTCCCCGAATTAGCAAGTATTGGTAGTCTTCAGACTTTTTTTTTAATTTAAATTTTTTATTATATCTTCAAAGTCTTTTGAAGTACTCTTCAGACTTGAAGAAGCGAAGGGATTGTTCTGGGACAGAGACGCCCTCCACCTGCTTATCTCAAATAAACTCTCCCTCCTCCTCCTCCTCCTCCGCATCGCTATTAGAGGGAACATCTTGCCCTGAAAAATCCTGGCCATACCCGAGAGCCTAGCAGTTCGAAAGCAAGAAACTGCAGGTAGATAAATAGGTACCACTTCGGTGGGAAAGTAACAGCGTTCCGTGCGCCTCGGTGTTTAGTCATGCCGGTCACATGACCACGGAAACGTCTTCGGACAGCGCCGGCTCTTCGGCTTGGAAACGGAGATGAGCACCGCAACCCTAGAGTTGGATTTGACTGGCTTTCGAGCAAGGGAGACCTTTACCTTTGCCTTAGAGAACAAATGTAAGGAAAACAGTCGAGAGCGTCTGACCCACAGAGCAAGCCGTCAGCAAGACTTGCAAAGAAGATGCTTTCTGTATATTATGGTCAACAAGCACTACAACACAATAAACAAATTCAAATCATAAGAAAACAGAGTCATATTAGAGTAAGCTTCTAATGGATCCCAAGCTCAGCAGCGTATTTGAGCCCGAATACTTATTGAGATCAGCGTCCTATCTGAATATATTATCTTTCATGACTTTTTGTAAAGCACTTTATGAGCGAGAGAGCTTTTTTCCACATCTAATATTTCCTGACGGAGATCCAATTTTGAAACGTTGCTCTATAATCCAGAGACGACGCTGATGATGTATTTTCACACTAGGGTTTTCTTATGATTTGAAGGAATTTGTTTATTGTGTTGTAGTGCTTGTTGACCGGAATAGACAGAAAGCATTTTCTTTGCGAGTCTTGTTGACTGCTTGATCTGTGGGTCAGACTCTCACGAATGGTTTCTTTACATTTGTTCTGTGATTAGGTCGTGACTGTCCACATTTGTTTTTGGGCGGAGTAGACCATACTGGCATTGATAGGCAAATGGGTATAAAGCAGCTTCACGTTCAGATTTATCCATCTGCAATTATATTCTGCTGTTTCGTTTTGTCTTCTTTTCCTGTTTCCCACCATCCAATCAGGGAGGCGGGAATCAAATTTCTTCCTCTTCCCCTGGAGCGGGAACACCCAAACCTCAGTCTGGGTACTCCGGGAAGCAGTCTCGCCGACTGAGCAAAGTGACTGCACTACGCTCAGTTTCCCTTTGACGGACGATCCCGCCAAAGGGAATGAATGAGCATCCTTGCGTCCGACAAGGGGAACGAATGGACGTCCTTGCACTCACGAGAGCTCTGCGCTCGGTAGAGGAACCTCAGCAGTCTCGACAAGGGCATTCTGCTGTCGCCCAGCGACAGAAACAGTGCAAACGGGGGGGGGGGGGAGCCAGACTCACCTTTGTCGAACTGGGCTGCAGCGCATGTAGCTGATAAACAGTCAAGCAGAGCTTGTTTAGGTTGATGTAGAAGTTCACCAGGATGTCTGGAGGCAGCGCAGGAGTGAACATTTTCTGCAGGGAGACCAAAGGGCGGTCAGTTTGGTGTAGCTGGTTTGGTGTCGTGGTCAGGAACGCGGACTCTCATCTGGGAGAACCGGGTTTGATTCCCCCACTCCTCCACGTGCAGCTGCTGGTGTGACCTTGGGTCAGTCACAAGTTCTCTCAGAGCTGTTCTCTCACCCGCAGTTCACGGGAGAGCTCTCTCGGCCCCGCCTACCTCACAGGGTGTCTGTTGTGGGGAGGGGAAGGGGAAGGAGACTGTAAGTCACTCTGAGACTCCTAGTGAAGGGCGGGGTATAAATCCAATCTCCTCCTCCACATGCAGCTGCTGGTGTGACCTTGGGTCAGTCACAAGTTCCCTCAGAGCTGTTCTCTCACCAGCAGTTCTCGGGAGAGCTCTCCTGGCCCCGCCTACCTCACAGGGTGTCTGTTGTGGGAAGGGGAAGGGAAAGGAGATTGTAAGCTGCTCTGAGACTCCTTTGGGTAGTGATGGGCAGGCTATAAATCCAATCTCTTCTTCATCAGTGAGGACACAGCTTTTCTAAGCCTTTCCACAGAAGACACGTTAACCTTTTGTGAATGAGCAACTGTCAGGAGAAGAGCAACTTCCTCCTTAATCTGTTGTCAATATGTGTCTTGGGGGAGGGGGACACACACAGATATGAGACACGCACAAGCTTATCTAGCACTGCATATTGAGGGGGCAAGACTTTTCTCTGCTTCTCAAAGACACCCAAGCCAATTACAATTCGCCACGTGGGAGTGAGCCGATGGCCCCCACCTATGTCAGCAGGACAAAAACGGGTGTGGGCCCATGTTTCCTTCACCCACCTGGGTCAGCGCCTTTTTTGCAGGCAGTGATCGCCTAACACAGTGATGGCGAACCTTTTAGAGACCGTGTGCCCAAACTGCGACCCAAAACCCACTTATTGATCGCAAAGTGCCAACACGGCCATTTAACCTGAATGCTGAGGTTTTACTTTAGAAAAAACAACCCATACATTAACTTAAGAGGATCCAAAGAAAGTGAGGAAAGCAATCCCAAATGCTTTCATTTACTTAAAATTATTTGGCAGAGAATTCGACACTTTAATGATGGTCTGGGCCTGGCTGGGGCGATGCC